CCCAAAATATTTCTTTCTCCTTTTACAAGCGACTTCCCAAACCACCTTGAATTCTTTCTGTTGCAAGTAAACATTGTGTGTCCTTAAGCCGCTGGGAAATCGCTGTTCTTGCTAAAATCACAGCGAGCTTTTCATTTAGGTTCCTGGGAGCTAGGTGATGGGGTTTAAGAGTTTTGAAGTGGCATGTATTCGAGATTTATACCTGTTGAATTCATTATTCCATTTCCCCCCTCTTCCCCCTCCTTTTTCTGGGAGTAGCTTTGAAAACGGCTTAGGCGATCGTGAAGCGTAGTGTTGACAAACTACATTAGCTGATTTATGAAGGGCCTGAAACAGAGGAAGTAGGCTCCAAATATTAAAATCTATGCTATTAAAAAAAAAAAAAGTTGCATGTTATTAAATAGCAGGGAAAAGTTAATTCCTGATGATCTTTTTTTCTCCTGATGTAAATAGTTTTGAAGGCTGTGATCTTCCTTTTGTCTGCATTGATAAGGAAATCATGTTGATTACTGCTACCAATCATAAGAACGTTGACAAGAAGCATTGTTATGTTCTGGAACTCTGCCTCCTGAAGACCCCGGCCTTACTCATGTTACTTCAGTATAGTAAGAGGAAGAGCTACAATGCTTGTCCACCAGCTGCTACTTACTACCAGCGTTTGGAGAACCGAGCTGCTTTGATTTATCCCGAGCACTGTTAGATCACGGGCTGTTGCGTGTTGTTTTGGATGAACTAGGTACTTAAGTAAGGAAAGATCTTCTTGAACCTAGAATTTTTGCTCTGTGGGGAGCCATGCTGTCATTGTTCAGAAATTATTCCAGTCATTCGCCCCCACGGCTGCCTGAATGTAACGCGAATGCGGTTGTGGATGAGATACGTGCGTTGTCCTGTTTCAGATGGGGCGGAGAAACGGTGGCAAAATCTGTGCTTGTGCGAAAGCCAGGTGAAGTGGGAGAATTGCAGGGACAGTCTCAACAGCAGTTGGTGAGAATAGCAGATTATAGCAACGAGAAGGGTGATGAGGAATTTTTAATTAGGATAGTAATTATCACAATTTTTAGGGGGTGGGAGTGTCTCCTCATCATCTGTTTTAAGAGTTCTCGATCCCTTGCCATTCATACACATACACTGTGCCAGGCGGTATAGATATATTAGCATCTGTTAGATTATTTCCTGTCCCGTCTGTGTCCCCCCAATCATATGACTTGCCTAGTATGATATTTGAATCTCTTAGTTCATAGCAGGTGCAGTTTTTCAGTTTTAATTATCCAGGCTTCTTACAAACAAAGAAATTTTCAAGAGAGGAAGCTTCTGTATCTGTATGGCCGTTGCTGCTTATGCTGGTACTATTGCAGAGCGCTGTGAAATCCAAAGGTGTATCTGATCAAGGCTTCAGCACCACAATAGGCATTAACTGTCATGTTTATGTCTTCAGGATATAATGTTTGTGAGCACTCGTAGTTGCAGTTCCTTCTTTTGAAGAATCATTCGTTTCACGGTCTAGGCAGGGAAGCAGGGACTCTTGACAAGACGGCCGTGTGGAAGGCCACGTGCCGTAGCTCTCAGAGCTGCTCTATCCAGGGCTGCCGTTCTCAATTTGTGATGCTAATGTGTGTCATAAGATCAGGTGTTTCTCTAAATGTGAAACTTTAAACAGATAGAATGTTGTTTTCTAGAACAGCATCAACTCTTACTCTGCATCACAGTCCAGAGGCTCTAGGTGATCCTTGTCCTGATTGTTTCTTGCACAATAATTTCTTAGAGAGGGAGAATGGTTGGGCATGTGAAGAAAGGACTCTAGGCTCTTGAGCAGTAATGTACTGTGGTATAAATATGGACATCCTGCTTCAGTTTTTCTTTCGTGGTCACATGTTCTGGTGATCTGTAGGATATTGTCAGGCTTTTGGTGAAATACTTGATACACTGTGAGTTGGAGAAGGGAAGGCTGCTGAAAAATGGAGTGGATGGTATAACATTCTGATTTTGATAAGATTTTTGGAGCTACAGTCACTGTTTTTGAAGGTAGAATGGGTGGAGAATGTGAGTGTTCTGGCTAATGTAGCAATGAGCAATCTTTAAGCTAACTTCTCAAAACACATGTGAAATTATTAACTTCTTTAATTTAGAAAGAATCCAGGGTGAGATTCACCTTGCCTAAGTTGTGGTTCTAAAAGTTAGCTGGCTTTTCCTCTCATAGGAGAGGAACAGGCCGGATGAACTGTGCCTCTCTTTAGCACGTCCCCAGGGCAGTGTATCAAAACGGTACCTGTTTTTCCACGGACTGCAGCAGTGGACTTAGGCGGTCAGTTTATGTACTGGTGTATGAGCTGGGAGAGATAAATCCTACTCCCAGATTCCAAAATGGTGATTTTGTTTTCTGTTTCTGAAGGTCGTTTCAGCTTAGATTTCTTTGCATACTGAAGCTGTGTTCTCTCCTGGCATGAATTTGCATTCATCAGGTGTACATCTTTGTCATTTTAGGTTTCCAGCTCGAGATAAGCGCGCTTGTGCTGATTTTCCAATGAAGTACATCCTGGTAACTGGTGGTGTCATCTCAGGCATTGGCAAAGGGATCATTGCAAGCAGCATTGGCACCATACTGAAATCATGTGGTCTACGTGTCACTGCAATCAAAATTGATCCTTACATAAACATAGATGCTGGAACCTTTTCACCATATGAACATGGTATGAAAGGCATTGCTGTTCCCTTTTGCATAAATATTTGTAGTCACAATAATGTGGTGGGGTTTTTCTGTTTGGGTTTGGTTGGGGTTTTTTTTGAAAAGCAGTAGTATGGTAGTTATTTGTTTTGTAATCTATTTGGCAAAGCAAGTTTATTCCTTGCTATGTGTTCTCAAGGGCATTGTCTGCTCTCTAAATAAAGGCAGGAGAAGCCTGTTTGGTGAAGATACTTCTATGAGTAGATGCTTCCTTCCCATAAAGTACCACTTTGTCAGTGTTCAGTCAATGCTATCTTCAGTTCAACTGGATTAAAAAAAAAAAAAAGTACTATAAAACTTTTTTGAAACTTAACTTATTTTGAATGCTGTTACTTGGATGTCAGTTGTCAGTGCCTCCAGTGTGTTTTCATGAGAGTTAGATTAAGTTCCCATTTTAAACAGTGAGGATCAGCGAAGCTTAGAGAGCCAACTGGTGATATTTTAAAGTAGATGCTTAGTTTGGTTGGCTAGTTCTCTTAAGCTACCTTGGTTGTATTGACTACATTGCTGATGAGCTACAAGACAGTCTGATGTGCATTTATAATTTTGAATGTTCCTTCAGCTGTCTGTCTTGTTACTTGTACGTTTACTGAAAACACTGGCTTTCAAAGTTCCAATGTACCTTCAGCCAATAGGCATTTCTAATTCTTTTTATTTGTTGGATTTTGTCTGCTTTTAGTTTAGACCCCAATTTTTGGAACTGGAGATAAATGTGTTTGTCTCCTGAACTGAAAAAAGACCACTTTGCTTTTTAAGTGGAGTAAGACCACTCTCAGACCTCTCTCAAGAAGCCAAATCTAACTAATCCAGTAGTCCTGCACTTTCAGGAGCGCATCTGGTGCTCCTTAGGCAGTTGACTGGGGAAGTTATGCCTTTACCTCTGGTGGTAAGACTCCTATGATGACCTGAGATTGTGACGATGTATTCCTCCCCTGGATCAGGTACAGGGGAGAGGGGATACTGTGGCATGTAATTCCCGGACAATTCCACCCTCCCCCCCCTTCTCTGTTCACTTAAGAGTTTCTTACTGCTTGTGAAAAAACACTGGCTTGCTGGGTAATAAGTAGAAATTCACACAAGCCAGAATGGCAAGCCTCTTTTTTTAACATTTTGGCAGAAATATGATTGAGTCAAAGGATTTTAATTTGGTGACTTCCAGTTAACTAAAGAGGTTTTTTTTAATATTTTTTTTCTTTTTTTTTTATTTTTTATTTTTTTTATTCTTCCAAGGCCTCCTTATGAGAAATGTTGTTCCACTCTGTGTCTGTTGGCTTAAAGGATAACTTAGTACAGAGGAGGTACTCAGTGCCTCACAGGATCAGGCATAAATCTTCCACTCTGTTGTACACATGGTGGTGTTTTTGTTAAACTGTTCATTGGGGTGTTATATCTCGGTGGGATATATATTTCCATAGTCCACGCTCTACCTTCAGGGGGATTGCTTCTTTTTTTTTTTTCCTCTTGCGCATTAGTCCCATAACTTATTTTGCTGTGACCCAATGAATCAACAGCTAAACATTTTATGGTTTTTCTGAATAGCTTTCCAGCCTTATCTCAAGATTGAGCAACTTTAGTTGCTTCAGAAGTTGACTAGATTCAGAATTTAGAGGTCTAAGAAAATTCTGAATCTGAAGGATATTTTCATGAGATTTTTCAGGGTCAGAAACAACCCTTTCTGTGGACATAGTGAACCAAATATAAAAGATGAAACAACTGAATAAGAAACAGCGATCACATTTGAAGAAGCATTTAAGTTTACTGATCCAAGCCTTAATCATTAAGATCCAAACAACACAAATTTATAGTGAAACACTTTGGAAGTGCGTAGTAATTCATATTTATAAAAGCACAGTTTTTGGCCGCCACGTGTAAGTGAATGTTTTATTTGTTGCTGATTTATGATTCCTAGAGATTGGCCTCATTCAATCAAGGATTGTAGCATGCTGTTGAAATGGTGGTTAAATATTTTTAAGTCACTTAAATATTTTGGCAATGTAACTTAAATTTATTTGCATAAGCATACATGACTGAGGGGTAGGCATATGATGTAAAAGTAATGACTTCTATATTAAGTCACATAAAATGACAGTGCAGATTGAGTTGCAGCATTTGCTTTATTGATATGTCATTGTGATATGGCATTTTAAAAAACATTTCTTCAATTTTAAGATAAGTTTGTTGTATTCCTGTTGCCTGTTTAATAACTTCTGATTATTGCTTTTCTGTCTGTTTTCACTTTCTTTTTTCAGGTGAAGTTTTTGTATTGAATGATGGTGGAGAAGTTGACTTAGATTTGGGAAATTATGAGAGATTTTTGGACATCAGTCTCTATAAAGATAACAACATCACCACTGGAAAGATATATCAGCATGTCATTAATAAAGAAAGACATGGTGATTACCTGGGGAAAACCGTTCAAGGTGATATTTTTAATTCTGTGGGATATTAGTGCATTTAGTCTTCACAAGAGAGTTATCAGCTAGAACATCTTTTTTTTTTATTTTTTATTTTTTTTATTCTTCCAAGGCCTCCTTATGAGAAATGTTGTTCCACTCTGTGTCTGTTGGCTTAAAGGATAACTTAGTACAGAGGAGGTACTCAGTGCCTCACAGGATCAGGCATAAATCTTCCACTCTGTTGTACACATGGTGGTGTTTTTGTTAAACTGTTCATTGGGGTGTTATATCTCGGTGGGATATATATTTCCATAGTCCACGCTCTACCTTCAGGGGGATTGCTTCTTTTTTTTTTTTCCTCTTGCGCATTAGTCCCATAACTTATTTTGCTGTGACCCAATGAATCAACAGCTAAACATTTTATGGTTTTTCTGAATAGCTTTCCAGCCTTATCTCAAGATTGAGCAACTTTAGTTGCTTCAGAAGTTGACTAGATTCAGAATTTAGAGGTCTAAGAAAATTCTGAATCTGAAGGATATTTTCATGAGATTTTTCAGGGTCAGAAACAACCCTTTCTGTGGACATAGTGAACCAAATATAAAAGATGAAACAACTGAATAAGAAACAGCGATCACATTTGAAGAAGCATTTAAGTTTACTGATCCAAGCCTTAATCATTAAGATCCAAACAACACAAATTTATAGTGAAACACTTTGGAAGTGCGTAGTAATTCATATTTATAAAAGCACAGTTTTTGGCCGCCACGTGTAAGTGAATGTTTTATTTGTTGCTGATTTATGATTCCTAGAGATTGGCCTCATTCAATCAAGGATTGTAGCATGCTGTTGAAATGGTGGTTAAATATTTTTAAGTCACTTAAATATTTTGGCAATGTAACTTAAATTTATTTGCATAAGCATACATGACTGAGGGGTAGGCATATGATGTAAAAGTAATGACTTCTATATTAAGTCACATAAAATGACAGTGCAGATTGAGTTGCAGCATTTGCTTTATTGATATGTCATTGTGATATGGCATTTTAAAAAACATTTCTTCAATTTTAAGATAAGTTTGTTGTATTCCTGTTGCCTGTTTAATAACTTCTGATTATTGCTTTTCTGTCTGTTTTCACTTTCTTTTTTCAGGTGAAGTTTTTGTATTGAATGATGGTGGAGAAGTTGACTTAGATTTGGGAAATTATGAGAGATTTTTGGACATCAGTCTCTATAAAGATAACAACATCACCACTGGAAAGATATATCAGCATGTCATTAATAAAGAAAGACATGGTGATTACCTGGGGAAAACCGTTCAAGGTGATATTTTTAATTCTGTGGGATATTAGTGCATTTAGTCTTCACAAGAGAGTTATCAGCTAGAACAAGCTGTTCCCTGCTGCATCGTCTTACTCCTTTCTCCTTCCCAACAGATATGGGCATATTTCTGTAATGTTGGCCTTCTGGGTTCAAGGAAAGGAGGAATACAAACAGGAGCTAGTAGTTTCTTTTTGACTCACTGCTCTTTTTCTCCCTTTTGCATGTGAAAACTGGTATATGGGCCTAAAGTAAGATATGCTTGCCACCTTTGGCTTTGTCTTGTAGTTGTTCCACACATCACTGATGCAGTTCAGGAATGGGTAATGAATCAGGCAAAAGTTCCGGTGGATGATGACCGAAAAGAGCCACAAATTTGTGTAATTGAGGTAAGTATGGAACGTTTTAGGATATATATCCACCGTGAACACAAAGAAGTAGCTTGCTTTCTCTTTGCTACTTACTGTAAAAGGGTCAGACTGAAGTTTTGTGGAGAGCAGCAATGCAAAAACACTTACTATATTCTTTGATTTGTTCTGAGAATGATAGGCATGGTCTTACTCCTACAGCTTCTGTTTACTTGACTAAATCCCTTCTAGAATACTGCTGAAACTGAGCTGCTTAAGAGTTTATTAATTTATAAAATTAAAGCAGCCAGTTACTGTAATGTGAAGTATCTATTTCCAAGACACAGACATTTGACTGAAGCTTTATACTGTTTATACTGTACTATTGTACTGAGAAAACTTGTGTGATACCTGAAATCTGCTGTGGTTCAGTAGAAGAGCCTATAACATTCTAGTTTTCATATGGCTTCAAATGTCCATATTGTTGCTCATGGTCATGTTTAAAGGAATGTATTTAAACACTGTATAACTTGGTTTCCCACTTTCTGTTGTTGTTTTTAAGATCTTTGGAGGCAACTTTGTTAACCTGCTGATGTTCTGCACAATGGAAATAATGAGTTTTACCCATTCTTAGCAGGGCATTGAGACAGCTGGAGGAAAGGCAGACAGTAATTGATAGCTTTATGATTACAGTGGAAAATACAGAAAAAGATTATACCTGAGAATTGACAGAAGAATATGTCATAAATTTAATGCCAGAAGCGACTACCATAATCAATAGTGTGATAAACTTTGTGACCCAGGTCACAGAATTGTTCAGTATTTCTTTTGCAGAAGAATCTGCCTTGATTAAAATACCCTTATTGGTATAGCTATAGATCTTTCTTATGATGTGCACAGTGAGAATCAAACATTTAATTTAAAACAAACGTAAAAGCAGTAAATGCAGAAGTTGCAGAAGAACATTAAGAAGTGATGGGTTTGTCAGTTCTCTAACTTCAAACTTAATTTTCTGTTTCCTCCGTATATGGGGTGCTTTTTTGTTATAGCTCCAGCCTGATAAAAATATTTTTTGGGGGACTTTAAGAATAATTGTAATGTTTTTCCGTGGCAAAATCCTGAAGGAGTTGGACTGGATATGTGCTTCACATACAAATGTAGTTGTCAGAAGTTTTTCTGGTACTCAGTGAACACAAATACGCAATTCTATCAAAAGCCACTTGGTGGCACAGAAAGACCATTGTGAAATGCAACTCCTTCGTAAGATTTACGTGCTAAACACTGTGCTTAGTCTACTACAGCTCTTTATGTCTTTGAAAGACATCTAATTTGTCTTTACAAATCCATTTTATCATGGACTTAGTCTTGGGTTTTGGTTTGGTAAAAAATATTTAAAGCCTTTTATGATATGAAATATTATTTCAAGTTGTCCATATGGCATTTATTGGTGTTGGAAAGCTATGATAATATTGCTAAATGTCTTGTTGGTCACAACTGTTCATTAATCTGACAGGCAGGAAAATAAAGTTTTTCTGTACAAAAACTTTCACATCAGCTTAACTATTGATTACATTTTCACCACTTTGAAGACAGTGGGAAAGCGTGTATTATTCAGTGGCACCACACATCTTCCCACGGGAAGCTTATGTGTTTGGTCTAAAGTGAATATAACAAAACTGGCAAATAGTTTTGTTTTCCTCAGGAAACAAAACACGCAGAATAGATGAGGGTTCTTTGCAGAGCATGCCTGCAAATTTCAATTGTCAGGTTTTTTTTAAGATTTCAGAAAAATTGCTAAGTGTGTAAGAGGTAGACTTTTTTTTTTCTTTTCTTTTTGCTTTCTGACACTCTGACGTATCCAAGCTTTCTTTTTCAGCTGGGTGGAACCATTGGAGATATTGAAGGAATGCCATTTGTTGAAGCATTTAGACAGTTTCAGTTCAAAGCAAAACGAGAGAACTTCTGTAATATCCATGTTAGTCTAGTACCACAGGTAAGTTATTAAAATTAATAAAATAGATTTTGCTCTGTAGTGGGCTTTATATTTGCTTACTTCTCCCATTAACCCTTTCATGATTGAGAGTTTTAGAGACAGAGGTATGAAACCCAGCCACACTGGGGTAAGTAAAGGCCTTGATAATTACTTTAGTGATGTGACAATCTGTTTTAATGTTCTAGGTTACAAAAAAAAACCCCTTATCAACACTAATTTATCTACAAGGCTAAATATAGTTGTGCTTTGCACTGGAAGGTGCTGGTATATTAAGAACCCAGTAAGAAAGGCACTCATCTCTCGAAGGTATCACTTAGAATTCTATTTGTTAGAACTAACACTATAAGGAGAGAAGGGTATAAATGACCTTAGGTGGTGGGAACCCCAGGCGGTGTAGCATGGAATGCACCCAGCAGCACGCTGGGCAGACCGCTTCATAGGAGAGATTCTCCCCTTTCGGTCACTTAAACTAATAGATAATTTTTTTACAAGGAAACAACTGTATCATTTTTACTGTCAGACAGAAAGAATGTTCTCTGGAGAACTGCCTGCTGCATCCCTAGATAAAGGCAAGGCCACGCAGGTGATGCGATTGTGGGTGCTGAGTGGGAGCTGCCCGCAGGCTATTAGAAGGAGCTGGCTGAGTTTGTCCTGCAGGCAATGGATTTGTGCAGCACAGGCCTGGGCTTCCTCAGGGGAACTCTGAGGTGGATCACAAACTCCTCAATGTACAATGGCCTTCCAGTCAAGACCACTAAAATGTTTTGTACAGGGCTAAAAGTATTCTTCCATTTGAACTCTAAATTTTACTTCAAAGATAGGTTTTCTTATTATTTTAAGATGTAAGTACTCACTGGGGAGATTTTGGTAAGCAAAGGTTGGTAATGATGATATGATTATACCTTGTACAAATAAAAAGAGAATTATTAACCACTGCAGCTATGGATTAGAGGAATGGTCAGAAATTGATATGATTGATTCTGTGTATTTGAGAACAGAACTATTTAGTACATCTGATTATTTCCAAGGACAGCTACTGAATCTAGCTTTTGGAATATTCTTCTACCTGAGTCAATTATATTGAAACTTTTTCTCTGAAAGAAAAAATAACAAAATAAACCTGACCTGAATTAGGGTCATACGGTTTCTTCTCAGAATTTCTTATATAAGTAATGACAGTGGTGCCATTTCTGTTTCTGGCATATTTCGGTTCTGTTTGGATATGTTTAATGACTCCTCTTTTAACATTTAACTGCTCTGTTATTGGATGTTAGTTGCTATTTGGGCTTTCAAATTATGTGTTTCCAGCCTAACGCCACTGGTGAACAGAAGACAAAACCAACACAGAACAGTGTTCGAGCACTGAGGGGTCTAGGCTTGTCTCCGGATTTGGTGAGCCAATAAATACAATTTTTTATTTATAAGTCATCTGGAAGTGTTCTTGCATAACCTGTGTTCAAAGAATAAGCCTTAGTCTCCCATGAGAGACAAGAATTTTAGAAGAAATGGAACATATATGCTGCACTGCTTCACTAAAGCCACAGGAAATCAAATTACTCAAATTCACTCCTAAGTTAACTTAATTCAACTAACTCCTTGGAATATCTTAGGACTGTAGCCATGTTCTTCTAAAGGGATCTTTGTAGAAAAATCATTCTGCACTGCTAAAAATAATCTGAATTCTCAGTTCACTTTGTGGGAAGACCTAGAATGCTTCTGGCTTCTAATATTCTCTCACAAATTTCTTTTTATGCATGATTAAGAAGAAGCAATCCTACCTTTGAAGTACAGCCTTTAAAAATATTCATGTTTGGAAATATAAAATGTGTGGGTGAATCTTCAAAGTAAGGTTCTTCAATTTCTTTCACAGAATGGTTTGGGTTGCAAGGGACCTTTAGAGGCCATCTAGCCCAACCCCCCTGCAATTAGCAGGGACATCTTCAACTGGATCAGGTTGCTCAGAGCCCCGTCCAACCTGGCCTTGAATGTTTCCAGGGATGGGGCATCTACCACATCTCTGGGCAACCCGTTCCAGTGTTTCACCACCCTCATTGTAAAGAATATCCTCTTTATATGTATTCTAAACCTTTTTAGTTTAAAACCAATACCCCTTGTCCTATTGCAACAGGCCCTACTGAAAAGTCTATTCCTATTTTTCTTTTAAGCCCCCTTAAGTATTGAAATGTTGCAATAAGGTCTCCCTGCAGCCTTCTGTTCTCCAGGCTGAACGACCCCAACTCTCTCAGCCTGTCCTCCCAGGAGACGTGCTCCAGCTCTGATCATTTTTGTGGCCTTCCTCTGGACCTGCTCCAACAGTTCCATGTGTTTCTGTGCTGAGGGCTCCAGAGCTAGACTCAGGGCTCCAGGTGGCGTCTCACCAGAGCGGAGCAGAGGGGCAGAATCCCCTCCCTCGACCTGCTGGCCACCCTGCTTTTGATGCAACCCAGGGTACGGTTGGCCTTCTGGGCTGCCAGCGCACATTGCCAGCTCATGTCCAGCTTTTCATCCACCAGTCCTTCTCAGCAGGGCTGCTCTCAATACCTTCTTGCGCCACATAGTATAGTGAGCCTAAAGCCAGCAAGTTTCACCTCATGCCAGCTGGCAATTGATGACAAATGCTGAACTCCTTCTATTCTTTCTCCCCAGTGCTCTAGTAATTATTCCCTGGATTCAATGTTTGCGTCCCTGGCACTTTTCCTTGGGAGGAGAGGAGGCATAAGTAGATTGCAGCTCCCTGCCATTGGAGATGTTAATCTGCTTGGTCAAGTTCTGATAGCACTGAAGCCAGGGCAGCACAGCTTCAAATGCCAGTCCAACCCCAGTTCAAACTTACGCTTGTATCTTCCTGAGCTGCAGCTGATGCAGCTGGAGACACGCTTTGTTTCTAGGTCTGCTTCAGGAACAGAAAAGAACAATTTTGCTCTTTTGTGTGAGGCTGCTTGTTAAGTCAAAGGTTATTTTCCGCACTGGATTCTGGAAGCTGTTGAGGACTTTCCGTTCCCATAAAGTCCACTGAGAGAAAAAGCTCCCCAGCCCTTCTCAGAAATGAGACTAGTGAGAATAGTCACTGCTTCTGTACAATGTCCTCAAAAAGGAAAAAGGAAAAATGACTCTTAAAAGGATAGTAATGCAACTAAATTTTGTGTTGTCTGTCTTTCTGGTGTTTTTTTGAACTCTTGGATTTTATATTTAACAAAAAACGTGTTTGTAACTACAAAACCAATGGCTTTGTAAATAGGATATGTGAAGGATGTGTTAGGTAGCTTCAAATTGTTGTGACCTGGTAACTGTAATCTGCTTGTGGAGGGAAAGACTTTTATTAACAATGCTGCTCTATATTCCAAGCTTCAGGGCTTAAACTTCAAAATCCCTCTTGAGGTGCTAATTGCATGTGGAATGTTGAACGTGATTTTCAGAGGCCTGTAAGGTAATTGCCAGTGTCTGACTTTAGCCCTAGCCCCCCAAATTAGTTTTTAAAAGCCTGTTAAGTGTGTGCATGAGAAAAGGAAAACAGACTAATCTAGTCACTTTCTGACATCTTGAGTTCTTGTCTGGGGCAGTTTTGGGACAGCCAGAAGTGCAGTACTTTTTTTTTTTTTTTTTTTTTTTTTGAATTGCTGCTGTTGACTACTAAAGCATAGAGAGATTACACTCCAGCAAAGCCTCTTAGTGCTGTTGTAAAGTTGCTTGGGCACTGCTTCAAGAAAATATTTAAATGGTTGCTCTCTTGGGCAGGGGCCCAAGGCCAAGACAGCACATGGGGAAGCTCCTAGAACAGCAGTCAGGAGGGCTTTCTTCATAAGCTGTGCTGCCAGGCTGCTTGGCTAGACCTGTTCTTAATACCTGCTGCCTTGCTGTCTGGTCCCAGGCTTCCACAAGGTGGCATGCTGGGCCAGTCTCAGCTGGGTATGTACAGGAGCCTTTATGTTCTCCATGGGGTGTTCTAAGCGCTTAATGAATACACTGTATCTGCAGATTTAATGGACTCTGTTACAGCATTTTGAAAAACGATTACATGCTTGTCAGTGCTGCCCTATTCAATTGAATTGTTCCTCATCTTCTTTGTGTTATGTTTCTTTGAGACGCATCTCTGCCGCTGTTATTGTAGTTTTGTATTTTCATGCTGATTCTGATGTTTTTGATTTCTGTGACTCCATTAACTTTAAATTTGTCTCAGCAAGACAGATGATAGATCTCAAAGTGGATCTAATCATGTACTCATACTGTCAAGGTTTATCAATTATGTCTTCAAACAGTACCCAGTTTTTAAGTATAAGTTGTGCTTAATTGAATAGAATGTACAAATTGTTTCATAAATCTTTTTTGATTATTAGAATGTCTGTTAATTTTCCCTTGTACTTGGCCTTTTTTTTCTGTTTCTAGAATTTCTTGCAAGGGTAGGGGAAGTTAATTAGACCACATCAATATCAGTGTAGCTAAGCTGCGTACTAGCAAGGTGATCAAAGATCAGCTACAAGTTTCTGAACAAAAAAGGGCTTAATGCATTAGGTAGTTGCATTTGCTAGAAAGATGGGGAAAATAATGACTTAGTCTTTTAACAGGATCATGCTACTTTGTTATACTTCCACTATTCAAAATAGCTTAAGGTAGTAGACTAAGTAATCCAAAGGCACACTGAAAGAGCAGTTCTGCATTTTGAGTTAGTTGCCTGAAGTTACATAATACAAAAAACCCCCCTTCCAACAAACACTAAAACACATGGTTATTTTCTTTGTTGGTAAAAAATGTCAATATTTTCTAAAATTCCCAAGTTTTACATGTATCTGCAAAATAATAACAGAATAATTGAACTAGGAAAAAAACTCACAAGATTATGAAACAAGTTTTCTCATCATCAGCCTCCTTTTTATCGTGATGTGTGAATTAAGAATTAGGAAAAGATGCTGAAGGACTGGGATAGTAGAAAACATGCATATAAGCTAAGTATTACTGCTCTACATTTAGCTGATAAGGTCACAGTATTTATTTTGATTCATCATGTTATTCATACTTACAGAGCTGTTAGACTCTAGGTAAAGAGTATTACAAGAGTAGCTACAATAAAGGAGAACATGAGGAAGCAGTATTACAGAGAATGCCAAAGAAAAGTTAGTAAAAGTGGGTTAGTATGGGTAGGTGACTGATTTACTTCTGCCTTGCTAGCAGATATTTGTGAGCTATAATACGTTGTAGAACTCCAAAAGAGGAGAGAAAAAAAGGCACATTTGTTTGTGCTTTGCTTGCAAAGGAGATCAATTTCTCCATGAATAGTATTGAAGATCTTCTGTTGGTTTGCTTAGTAAATATTTAAGATTTTTCCTTCCATTATGACAGATTGTCTGCAGAAGTGCAAAACCTATAGAAATGGCAGTGAAGGAAAAGATTTCTATGTTTTGCCATGTGGAGCCTGAGCAGGTCAGTACTTTAACACTTTATTCATCATTACTTAAACATGTGGGAAAGCATACAAACCCTTCTGTGCATTTCTGTTTTCAACTTCAGACTGTTGCATTAATCATAGAATCATAGAATGGTTTGGGTTGGAAGGGACCCCTAGAGGCCATCTAGCCCAACCCCCCTGCAGTGAGCAGGGACATCTTCAACTGGATCAGGTTGCTCAGAGCCCCGTCCAACCTGGCCTTGAATGTTTCCAGGGATGGGCCCTCCACTACCTCTCTGGGCAACCCCTTCCAGTGTTTCACCACCCTCATTGTAAAGAATTTCTTCCTTATATCCAGTCTAAACCTACCCTGCTTCAGTTTAAAACCATTACCCCTTGTCCTGACACAGCTGGCCCTACTAAAAAGATTTTCCCCATAATATGTAATAGTTTTTACAATTTTTATCTTGCTGTCATGTACACTATAACAGTTTAAAAATATTGGGAGTTTATATGTTAAATTTTATGTCAAATGGTCATTAACAATTTAAATGCATGTTATGTAAAAAGTTAATAAAAGGAATAGATTTTTGAGTGCGTGGTTAATTGCTATATGGAGTTGTAAAAACTGTGCAGTTTCAGGCTATGGTTGGTTATTGTCCATAAAACATTCCAGATGAGGACAGAGAGGGCAGTGTGGCCATTACTTCACCCCCTTGCTTCCATCTAACTATCTGTGGAAGACAACACCCTTGAGCTAGCTTCTGGAAAACCCTTCAGAAATGCCTTTGTGGTTCCTCTCCAGCTGGAGAGAGACAACTGGAAGTTCAATCAAACAAAAACAGTGCGTGCTTTTCTGGTAGTATCAGGCCGTGTGTAAGCATGTACATACTCAGATTCCAGCTGCAGTTATGCCAGTCTAACTGGACCAAGAGTCCCATGTGTAACAGAACTTCCCTGAGAGCAACATTGCAGGGAGGGAGCTGTCTTCATGGCACTGGTTTTTTGTTTGTTTCCCCCCCGGCCCTGCCCCAGAATTCTGTCTTTTAGGGTAGAAGCTCAATAGTTGTACCAGTCACAGCTTTCATGAGAAGCTGAGTATATGATCCTGGCCAGAGTGCTGCACTCTTCTTGTGCTGTGCTGGCTAGCTCAAACGTCTGTCCACAGCACTGCATTGTGTAATATAGGTGTGTCCCTGGCGGTTAGAACCAGTGGACTGAACTGGGATGCTGCTAGGTGCCATACTGTGTTGCAGCCTTTTTTTTTTTTTTTTTTTTTTTTTTTTTTCCCCCTCCCCTCCTTTTCATAACTGTATTAATCAGAATTCTGCAAAGCCCTTCTTAAGTCCCCTGTGTGTCTTAAAATTAATGAACCACTTCTGGATTTCAGAAGACACTGGCCACATGTCTGTATATTCCCTAGAAAGATCCTGGATTTCTTGTGAACTGAAGGATTAGATGCATCATCAGTCATATTCCTGGAGCTACATGCAATGCCAGTAGAGAAGAAGCTACAGTTCATTTTGTGTCCAGAATGGTGGTTTACAATCTCAAGGGGAACAGTCTTTTCAGTCCACTATTCTCATTTATTTGCTGTTGAGAATCACAAAATAGTTGAGGTTGGAAGGGACGTCATCTGGTCCAGCACCCTGCTTGAACAGTGCCACCTAGAGCCAGTTGCCCAGGACCATTGTTCAGGCAGCTTTTGAATATTTCCGAGGATGGAGACTCCACAACCTCCCTGGGCAACCTGTGCCAGGGCTCAGTCACCCTCACAGTGAAAAAGTTTCAGTTTGCACCCATTGCCTCTTGTCCTGTCACTGGACACCACTGAAGAGAACCTGGCACCATCTTGTTTGCTCCCTTCTCTCGGGTATTTCTGTACATTGTTGTGATTTTTCCACCAATACCCCCAAGCCTTCTCTTCTTCAAGCTGAACAGTCCCAGCTCTCAGCCTTTCCTCATTTGAGAGGTGCTCCAGACCTTTCATCACCTTTATGGCCCTTTGTGGGCTGTGGACTTTTTCTGGTATGTCCATGTCTCTGCTGTACTGGGGTGCGCAGAGCTGGACCCAGCACTCCAGGTGCGGCCTCAGCAGTGCTGAGGGGAGGGGAAGGATCACCTCTCTCAACCTGCTGGCAACACTCCTCCTAAGCAGCCCAGGGCACTATTACCCTTCTTTGCGGCAAGGGTGCAGGGCTGGCTCATGTTCAACTTGGTGTCCACCAGGACCCCCAGGTCCTTTTCTGCCAGGCTGCTTTCCAGCTGGCTTTCCCCCAGCACATATGGTGCCTGGGTTTGTTCCTCCCCAGGTGCAAGACTTTGCACTTCTCCTTGTTGAACTTCATGAGGTTCCTGATGGACCATTTCTCCTGCCTGTTGGCAGGATGGCAGCACGACCCTCTGGCATATCAGCCACTCCTGCTGCTTTGGTGTCATCTGAAAACTTGCTGAAGGTACGCTCTGCCCCATCATCCAGATCATTAATGAAGACGTTAAACAGGACCGGACCCAGTACTGATCCCTGGGGTACTCCATTAGTTGCTGGCTTTCAACTAGAGTTTGTGCTGCTGATTGTCACTCTTTGGGCCCAGCCGTTCTGCCAGTTTTCCTCACTGTTTGCTCATCCTGCCCATATATGAACAGGTTGTCTGTGAGGATCTTACAGGAGACGGTGTTAAAAGCCTTCCTGAAGTCCAGGTAGACAATATACGCTGCTTTCCTCTCATCTGCCAGACCAGTCACTTCGTGAGAGAAGTTTATCAAGTTGGTCAAGTATGACCTCCCTTTGGTGAATCCATGCTGACTACTGATGATTTTCTTATCTTTTGTGTGCCTGGAAACAGTTTCCAGGACTGTCATAACTAGTCCATTAAGATCACATGCTATTTTGTCCACAGACTTCCTCTAAGTGGATTTTTTTTTTAAAATTTGCTTTTATCAAATGAGTCCTCCCTCCTTGCTTGCTTCAATGTATGTACCACCAAAACAAAAGCAGTGTCTTCATCTTGTTTCAGAGTTATAACAGTCTCCATAGTCAGCGTGGCTGTAACCTGGAGCAGGTAGCGATTCTTTCTTAATGTTATACCCTTAGGATGGTAGCTGGAAGAACAGTTGGATAAGCCTTATTCCTAGTGTAGGAGGGCTGTGGTTAACCTATTCTTTTTGCTGTTGAATGGGCACATAGAGAGGCATGGGGCAGCGTGCATGTGTGCATCCTTATGTGGTGAACAGAAGTAACTCAAGGATAACTAGGCAAGTATCCTTTACTTCTCATGTATTCTGAACTCTGCAGCCTTGTGTAAGCCAAGTGCAATGAACTTAACTGCCAGCAGCTTGGACACAGTTTATAAATATGTTCTTAACTAAATGGTTCTTGAATGGACTATACTCCTTAATTAACTACATAATCTAATTCACTAACAAAATTCTTTTAGAAGACTTTATTGCAACCTAATTGTGTCTGTTTTGTTAGGTTCCATTTGTGTTCTTTCTTTCCCAGTTAATATTCTTCAAGTGTGTGAGAGAGGGAGAAAGAAGTGTTAGCAAGCATGACTGCTTGTGGGGCCAGATGTTTGTGTTAAAATTGATGTGGTGATAGGCTTGACGAGCTATTATTGTATGATAGTGCAATGAAAAAGTGAAACACAATTGTACCTTTTGGGGAGCTTTTTCCTTATAGATTTAGTGAAACCTTAAATATTGGCTGTGCTGCCCTGCTTATTCAAAAGAAAAGTGTTTAAAAATTAGAATGTATGTAGAATACAAAACACATAGTATACAAAAAACAGAATGTATGTTTCCTATGAAAAATTCTTAGGTAAGTCTCTTATGTTATGCTTTTTTTTTGTTAGGTGATATTTATCCATGATGTTTCTTCCACTTATCGAGTACCAATCCTGTTGGAGGAGCAAGGCATCATTAAGTATTTTAAACAGAGGTTAAATTTACCTATTGATGACCAGCCAAGTGATCTTCTAATGAAATGGAAAAAAATGGCTGACAGGTATTCTAACTCCTGCTGCTTTTTCTAGAAGTGTTTTAATTCAAGTTAGGTTTTTAGCTGCTGTGGAGTCACCAAACTGGACTGGAGTCAGTAGCGTGCTGCTGATCAACACTTGTGAATGGTTTGGGTTTTAAAAACATTGTCAGTTTTGAGATTTTAGATGATGTTTTGTGAAATTAAAGAAAAAGCAAACATTGTTAAAATGTTTTCCTTGTGAAAATTGATGTAATAACTGAAAAATTTGTTTTTGTCAGATATGAAAGGTTGCTGAAGGTGTGTTCCATAGCTCTCGTTGGCAAGTACACAAAACTAAGTGACTGCTATGCATCTGTTTTCAAGGCTCTGGAACACTCTGCGCTGGCAATTAATCACAAACTGGATTTAATGGTGAGGATATGTCTGGATTTTGCTTTCAGGAATACTTTGGATATAGTCTACTAGTTCCCATCATGTGAGGCGGTTTTAATTCGTGTGGAACTTAGAAAATTAATCACGCAGATAAATACAGACTGGCCAAGCATCTAATTTTTTTTAAATAAGGTTTACAGATTTAATTATTTTATTTGGAACTAAACTTACCTGAAAGGACTGCTGCAATTACCCAAAACTAGGTCTGATGAAAAAGCAGACTTCACCTGCAAATTTATATTTACTATCAAAGATAGGTTTCACTTGTTCTCATGAGACTGCTTATCAGTTAAGATAGGTTAAAGACAGGAGAAAATAGATAAATTAGAAAGCGGTTAAGATGCTTTTTAAAATCTGGTGCCAGAAGCTGTTGCTATTCATTTCAGTTAATATTCTGAGAGCC